CAAAATAACATCATCTGACTAAAGTGTTGGTCCACCACATGCTGGTAGAATAGATTCAGTCCACCTTGGAATTGATCCACCAAGTCTCCGGCCTCTACTGGAGCTCTGAGTTCATTCAACGTGGAAACAGATTCTCCTCCTGCATTACAAATGTCAGTTAACTGCACTCAGGTTCATTAATTTGCTCAAAGTCATCCCATAAATTGTGAAAGTGTAGAATTATCTGAGCCAAATTAGCTGAACTTGAGAAAGCAAGTTGAATAAACTCAAAATATTAAGTTGAATCAACTAGTCAAACAGAGATACTGACAGACAGGTTTTCACTTTGCATTTTTTAAGTTTGAACAGTTTCTTCCTCAAATGTTAAAGTCATTTTTGACCAGAATCAGTTTAAGACAAACTCTATGAGACTGCTGCAGCTTATAGTCTACTAGTCTAACGGTGTAAGGACTACATTCACTACTAACTTTTACTATAAAAAGAAATAACCATCAACTAATTTACCATCTGTCAAGAACACACAGAAAGTTTCCACCATGTCTGTTTTCTCAAGCTACTAAAAACAAGAATCTCTTGCAATGCATCCTGGGGTGTCTACTTATGCTAGTTTTGTTTCTTACGCACTGAATTTAACGAGTTGAGTGACTGTTTATTCATTTAACTCATCATTTTAAGTGCCTCAAGTTATAGAAATGGGTGTTTCTAAGTTATAAAGTGGTCTGAAACTGAAAGACAGTCGGCCCTTTACATCCAATTTATTAAAAATCAGCAAAATTCTTATATTTACATTAAATAAACAAGAATAAATTAGTTGATTTGACTAAAATCCTCTATGAATTGTCTTTATGTTCATTTGAATATGATGGACTTGACATTATTTTTAGCAATTTCAATTCTTTTACTTTGAGGTAGTTTTTTTCAGTTTCTTTAATCACTTAATTGTTTTCACAGGCTCAAAATCATAAGTGTCCAAGACCTTACAATCTTTGTATGCACCCCTCTGGCAACTGCAAACGTTCTAGAAGTAATCCCTCTGTATTTTTGTATCTATGTGGGTCAAAGAGTTCATATCTGTGTTCACAGGATGTGTGTGTCTCGCTGTGGTTGTGCATGCGTGTGGTGTGTATATATATGCTGTATGACGCAAGATTGCCTTATTACCAAGCAATTGGTCGGAGCTAAGCGTGTAGAGGACAAGGAGCTGAGTCATGGCAAAGGAGAGATAAAGATAGTAGTGAGACATGACGCCCGGTCACCTGCTGATGATGAGTCACTGTGCAAAAGACTCAACACTGTTGCCAAGCCTTCTTCTGTTTTGATAATCTTAAATGTCCATGTTGAAGTTAGGCACTAAGTTGTAAGTGGACTATTCTCCACTGACCAACTGGGCCAGTCGGCGTTGCTCTTTGTAACCTGCCTGATTGGGATCACACACTGTCCTTCGTCAGCGCAGCATTAGACGGCTATTTGTGGAGCTGCTGCCGCTGGATTAGCCCAGCTTGTTAACGCCAAGCCTATGTACCATTCAGATGCCTGACACAGCAACTCCTCTCTCCCACAGAGATTACACACAAACACACACACACACACGCTAGGCTAACCATCACTACCAACGGCAAGCCACATTCAAGTCCTCTCCAGGCCGTAGCTGCCAGCTGACACGTAGTTACAGCCTCGTCATTAAGTCAACACCTCAGAGACAGGAAAGGGGAATTACACTGTGAAATGGCAGGAAATGTGATGCAAAGTGCTTCATATTTATGAAAGGAGACTTGAATAGGTAAAGCAGCCCCATGTGAGCGACAACAACATGCAAAGTGAGAATGCAAAATAAGTTTTGGGGTTTTAGTGGCAGTGTGAGTGCTCAGGAGTTGTTTAAGTGTGTCCATGTGTTTGAGGGTAGGTGTCAGGGAGGCAGAGCAGAAAGTGGTGAACATGACAGCAGTCACATAGCCACTCTGACCACAGGATGAGCCAGGCTGAGCCAAGACCCAAGTCTGCCCATGATTCAGACTGGAGGAAATACCACATTCAACTGGCAAAGCCAGACTGTGTGTCTGTGTATGTGTGGGAATGGAAGGAGAGAGACAAATTGAGGAAGATGATGACATGAGTCTGTGTGCAGCATCTAGAATGATGAGAGTTGAGCTCATGTTTGGGTGAATTGTGCTTCACACTGACAGTAATCAACATCAGGAAGTCACCAGAATCATTAGTGTCTTCCTTGGAAGGACATAAATCAAAAGGAAATATAAAAAAACTAAACAAAACAACAACAACATAGAACAAAGCGTACCATTGTTTAAGACAAGTTCAGCAGGATTTTTGAATTAGATCTTTGCAGCTGGTTTTCTTTGCAGCAAACTCTGCAGCAGTTGAGCCAAAATGTTGGAAACAGCAGGAAGCAATAAAAACACGAACTAGGTCATTTACTTATGGAAAGTGGTGGAAACATTTAATACAGAGACATTAAACCAGAAACCTGTTTGCTTAACTCAACAAGGACATCAGGTCAGATGCAAAAATAAAGTCCATAATAAATCATTGATACTGATAATCATGCTTTTTGACATTTGTTATCCTCACACTATACGGATACTGCATTCTTGGGTGCAGTAATAAAACAGAACTCATCAATCGGATCATTTCCCTTCTATAATCATTAATGCCAGGAGTGAATTTTTCTTCCAGTCAGGCAGATTTTAACAGTGCTGAAGAAAAAAAAACAGGTTTAACCAACGCATTCCTTCCACTGACTTAAAAAACCATCAGTCTCAGGTTTAAATCTACACGTGACGCCTGTAATAGTCGTGTGACATTTGGAAACAATGTCTACATCCTCCTTCTCTGTAAATGTTGTCATTGTCTAGTGCCTACCTGCAAACCATCTGCTGGTCACTGTTGTACTTACATACCAATAAAGCAGCTCACCAGTAGGGACTTCTTCAAACGTTGCCTGTTACTCTGAAAAGAAAACAACTCAACTTCTGATGTACTATTGTTTTTAGTTTTGCAAGTTGTGGTTTGCATGTTCCTGTTTGTGTAATTTAGTATGTTGCTTCTACTGTCTGGTCCACCTCATCCCCACATACAGGCAGAAACTAAAATCTGCAAAGCCTGTTGTCAGAACTGTGAGGAAATGGACCACCGAGGCAAAGCAGGAACTACAAGCCTGTTTTGACTGTACAGACTGGAGTGTTTTTGAAGATGCCAACAACAACCTGGATGACCCAACAGACACTGTGACTGCATACATCAGTTTCTGGGAGGACATGTGTGTGCCAACCAGAACCTTCAGGACCTTCAACAACAGCAAGCCATGGTTCACCACCAAACTGCGACAGCTCCGCCATGCCAAGGAGGAGGCTTACAGGAGTGGGGACAGAGACCTGTTGAAGAAGACCAGAAACACACTGAGCAAAGAGATCAGAGTGGCTAAGAGGAGCTGAAGAACCAGCTGTCAGCTGACGACCCTGCTTCAGTGTGGAGAGGCCTGACGAGTCTGCATATCGGCAGGAGGTTGAGCGGCTGGTGTTTTGGTGCAGCCACAACAACCTGGAGCTGAACAAGATCAAGACTGTGGAGATGAGAGTGAACTTCAGGAGACAGCCCTCGCCACTGCTCCCCCTCACCATCAGCAGCAGCCCTGTGTCAGCTGTAGAGTCCTTCAAGCTCCTGAGGACGACAATCACCTGAAGTGGGAGAAGAACATCCGTTGTATCCTCAAAAAGGCTCAGCAGAGGATGTACTTCCTGCGACAGCTGAGGAGCCACAGGAGCTGTTGATTCAGTTCTACACCGCCGTCATCCAAGCTGTCCTGTGCAGCTCCATCACTGTGTGGTTTGGAGCAGCCACACTGCAGGACAGAAACAGACTGCAGCACACAGTCAGAACAGCCGAGAAGATCATCGGAGCTCCCCTGCCCTCCATCCAGGACCTGTACTCCACTAGAACCAGGAAGAGGACAGGGACCATCATCACAGACCCCTCTCATCCTGGTCATAAACTGTTCTCCCTCCTCCCCTCCGGCAGGCCATACAGAGTCCTGCAGTCCTTTGTTAGGTTTGATGAACTGGACCCGAGAGTTTAAACCTGATTTTTCTTTCACCTGAGCTCAAGCTCATGTTTTGATAAAGACCCCCTCTGATGAAAGTCGAGTGTTTCACCTTGTTATCATGAAAACAATCTGGTTTTTATGTGCTGGAGGACATTTAATGTGTGAAACTGCACAGATACTAACTTCATATGCAACAACCTTAGATAATAAGTCCTGTCAACTTGCAGGGTGGGACTTTCTGTATAATTTGTTTTCTGGCTCTAACATATATGACTGAATTATTCCATTGTTGTTGTTGTGTGGTGTGGAATAGTTTTACGTTGTTTGAGCTGGTGTGCTCGAGCTGTGGTGAGTGGAGGAGGGGTGGTTGGGGAAGGAGGCTGGAAGTTTGCAGAATCACATCTAAGCCACATAAAGACAGGAAAGGAGGATTTTCAAGGCAGCCTGACAAAATTCCCTTATAAATTTTACAGGTGGAGGTATTAAAGCTCAAACCACACGTTGCTTCTTTGAGAATTGAAGTGAACATATAGATTTTTTAAAAAGCCCCTGTGTCTTTGTAACATGTAGACAAACATCTTCATACTATTTCAGGAGGTCAATAAATAAATATTCCATTCTTTACCTACTGCAGTTATCATTAGTTATTATTGTCACCTAGCATTTTTCACACTCACTGTTTGTCTCCTACCACAGACCTTCATCACCGCTGTACTTCTGAGAAGAGGTTGGTTACTTTACGATTTCATAGCAGCTTCCTGAATTCACAGAGTCACGACTATACTGATAAGCAGCATTCGACTCACTGTGTGACTCATGTGAATGTGACATAGTGAAGGCAGGAACACAGTGTGTACGCTGCACATTAGCTCCACAAAAGGAAGCACAAAGGATGGCCTGAACATTACTGTTGAATTCGAGCCAATGAAACAAACAAACGCTGTACGTTCTCCCCGCAGTGAATTTATTGGTCCAGCAGATGCAAAAATCAACTGTACAACGTATTCTCATGCACAGTGCTCAGATCAAAACAAAGGTGCCTCTCCCATCAAGCGGTCATTTGAAACTACATAAAAATAAATAAAGAATATAATAAATCAGTTTTTACAAAAAACAAATTTCAAGTATCTCAAACAAACATGTTAAAATTTTTGACTGAGATAAGTAAGCTTCTGCTTCTTTCTCAACACGCCGTGCCTTCCATTCAGTCCCAACACAATAGTACATTAACAAACAAACAAAAGAGTTACACACATTTAAAAAGACTCCCGTGAGTGTTCCAGTCATCTCCCATCCATGGCCAGTTATACCATATGTACACTAACATTTACAAAGATATTATTAACAGCACGCCTTGTGTTATAACAAAAATAGAGGTGCTATATTTGTGCGTAGCCGACAACGACAGCAAAAGAAAAATAAACTTGAGTTTCCCATCAGTAGAGTGAAACACGTGCACTGTGGCACTGAAACTAAACAAAGTCAAAAATAAATAGTCTAACTGTGACGATATTGAAATGATATGTGGAGTTATTAGGTGAAATGTGTTGCCTCTCCTCAAGCAATCGAGTCCAGAGAAATCAGCGAGAGAAGCGGCGTCAGGCTTGCGAAACAAGCACTACAGGCACTCTAGGGCAAAAACCACCTCCACTACCGGGAAGTAACATGAGACACAACAGAGTGACAAATAAACCAAACAAAAAGCAAAAACGTATCACCGCTGTGCAAAATATCGCTTATTTTGTTGCGTGTCAGCATTCAAAGGAGTCAATTAAATCATGACGCTTTTTGATAAACACGTGAATACATGAAAAAAAACACCAGTGCTTCCAAGGAAGTGGCAGAAAAGTTTACAATGTAAACTAAATATGATATCCTTTCATTACTTAAGACAACCATGAGTGCATGGTTGGAAAGAAGGATTAGCTGAAGGTTTGGGTATGATAATTTGTCTTTGGTCTCTCTAAAAGTATAAACCACATGCGATTAGCTTCCAAGAGAGTCCTCTGAGGTCTAACAAGAGTGACTGTTGATTTAAAGGAGTCACAGTTTGCCTCTTTCCATCTGAACATTTTAGACACAAGAATGTCTAAACGTTAACCAAAAACCTCAGATTCATCTGTCTCAACAGCAAGAAAGAGAGAATTTAAGAGTCTTGCTTTGATTAAACGGTTAAAGAACCACAACCCTTTTATCCCCAACAATAAAGATCCCACAACTGGTTTCCTTGGCTGACAAAATGATGTTTGTTAACATTTTACTGACAGAATTATGTTGCTTTTAGGAAAGTAACTCTTCATTTTTACTATTCCTAGTTGTTTCATGTTGTTTTCAGCGAGTTTTCGTCAGTCGGCGCACAGTCACTGGCAGGGCTGCAGGAAGTCGTGGCAGCCGGATGAGCTTCTCCTCAGGTCCTGCAAACACAAAGAAGAACAGCAGCCGGTAAGTATCACCGTGGAGCTGCCAGAACCGACAAGAAAACAACACTATTGTATCAATATGGTAAAGTGATAGCCTCAGCTAACGTAATCCCTTAACCACGAGCTGTGTTTTCTCAGGCCCTAACTTCCTCTATGATATTTTAAGCGAGCGAGAAAACTAGCACGTAGCTCATGAGTGTGTGAACAGGTTGCTGTGTCTGCGCCGCATTAATCCTCAGGTGATTATGAATGAAGCTTACGAGAACACACACACACCCAGCACTGTTATTCACAGCTTTCCACTGTGCCAGCAAAACTAGCATGGGCACGCTAGCTCTCCTCATGCACTCACTCGCGCTGCATGTTCATTTAACACGCAGTGCAAACCATTTAGTCGTCTTAAGCCGACGACTTTCTCATGAGCAAAAGCTACAATTAACTGGTATTAAACTGACTGTAAACAGAAACAACATAAAGGCTGATGTAGTTCCTACAGCGGGCTTTCACTGACGAGCTAATTCATGCTCTGGCAGCCATTTTGGAGAATATTTTGCTCAAGGCTATCAGCAAACAAAAACTGCTCTTCTAAGTAAACGTATCTGTTTCTAAATGCAAAACAATCAGATAACTCACTATTGAAATGTAGCTAGTGAATGCTGTCAGTCTACTTGCATGCTAACGAGCTAAGTCTTGCTGTATTGTTGGCACATTTGATTAGAAGCATGTAAATGAGCACATCTAGTGGAAGCTAGCTTTAGCATGTCACATTCATGTCATTGCTAAAGGAGCCTGCAGGCCGGTTATTTTGTAAATAGCTAGTTAGTTTGGTTGCCACTTCGGAAAACTTGTCTTGTTTTGAAGCAGAAACTTAAAAGTGACGCAGTTTGGCAGGTGTTTCTTCAAATGCTACGTATTGGATTTCTCTGGTATTTGCATCAGATGTGGTTACTGGCAGAAACTATGAAGCAACTGCAAAGCCTCTACTGTGTGTTTACCTTTGAGAGACTAAGAGAGAAACCACCTCTAGATAGTGGAGGATGGTGCGTCTTTAAGCAGCACAAGACAGACCAAAAATAAACCAAACACACAAACAAGAACAGGACAGTCAGCATGAATCACAGGAGGATAGTAACAAGCACAGCGTAGTGACGACAACAGACAGGCATCTCCGGAATGTAAACGGGAAAGGGGAGTTCCCTATGGACAAATATGGACACTTTTCTTTTCCACAACTTCCAGGAACAATAGTTCTACTTCAGCATCAAGTACTATTTCCCATGAGTCACGTGTGGATCAGTACAGGTTTACTGTAAAACACTGTTTAAATAACAACAAGCTGTGATCATGTGGAAATCGTAGAGATGAAATTAGATGCTGGTATATAAAGATAATCGTATGTGTATTTTGTGCATTGCTATTTCTTGACATAATTGCATTTCGAGGTGAGATTTAAGCCTGAATAAATGATTATTGTTTTGTCAGTAAAGTGTTGTGGAAGTCCAGGAAAAGAAATTCCAGCAGTGAGCACAATGTCAACACAGCAGCAGGAAGAGAATGGATGGATCAGAATGACAGAGCAAGGCAGCCAAAGATCCTTCACTGTGCAAATACTTACAGGCAAACTTTGCCCAGCCAATGCTGTAAGGTGCAGAGGAGGAGAAGGCAGCAGAGGAAGAGGACGAGAAACAAGTGAGTGAACAAACATGCAGAAACTGTCAGAAAGGAAACAGATGTAGGAAATGCTTGCCGCTCATCCTCATAAAACAAATACCTCTCAGCAGAATTCTTGCCAAACTTTCTAATTTGGCAGCAGCATATACAGCTTCCTGCTGGCTTTCAAATACCCATTATAGCTGACCCTGCTTTAAGACTTGCTGTTGTTAAAACCCACCTGTCCAGCCAGAGCAAGAGGGAGATGAGAGGGGCTGCAGAGGGCCAGTGAGGCCACAGAGGGGGGCAGCTCCTGGATCGGAGCCTCGTCCAGATCATCAATGCGAGGTTTCTTGATGTTTGACTCGGGGCTGGTCAGAGGAGTAACGCTGTTCCTCCTGATCAAGGTGCCAGGACCCCGCTTAACCTCCTGCAAGTGTGACAAAGACACACAAGACTTAGAAACCAAGCAAAGTGCAACATGTTTTAGCTTTCATGCATAAATGACATATGAAGCTCAGTACAGGATTTGCTCTGACTTCAGCTCTCAGTAATCAGTCAGTCTTACCTCCGGTCTTTCCCTGTGGGTGTTTACTGCCTCCACATTCAGAGAGATTGACTCCACTTTGCACCCATAGGCGACCGGGGTGAGCTTCAGCACCGTGTGGAGGGGACACTTCAGATAGGCCATCTCATCTGGAGAAAACGGCAGGAAAATATGAATAAAGGTGCAGCAGATTCAAGCATCCTGTGTTGATCGTGACCATAAGCTTGGGGGCTTGTGTGAGTTGTGGCACGCACCTGCACTCTTATCCAGGAAGTAAGCCAGCAGGCAGCGCATGACGGCCTGGTGGCAGATAACCAGGACATTCTCCTGCCTCTCCAGCTCCATGATGACCGGCTCCACTCGCTGCACCAGGTCCTGATAAGACTGCAGTCAGGAGGGTAGAACCGGTTATTAGTGTAATCAGCTTATGCTTGTTGCTCGTAATAGTTTGCTGATGATTTGAACTATAAAAAATGTTGTGCAAGTGTAAATATATCACATGGCTTGTCGCGTACCTCTCCAGCAGGGTAGCGGTAGTAGTATTTATCTTCATCTCTCAGAGCAAACTCTTCTGGGAATTTCTCCTTTATTTCGTCATACGTCATCTCCTCACACAATCCCTAAAAACAACAAGCATCCAGTCAGCTTGGCAACATCAAAGAGAGCTGTTGTTGTGTGATCTGAAAGCGTGCATGAGAGTGACACTCACAGCATCGATCTCATTAAGAGCCTTCCACTGTTCGTACGGGACTCCCAGGTGCTCGGCGGTCTGGATGCTGCGGCACAGCTGGCTGGTCCACACCTTCAGATTCTTCAGCTGCTGCTCCTCCACAAACCGAGCCAGGGCAGCTGAAAACTACATCACGGAGGGAACAGCATTCAGCACCTGATCATCACCTCGTAAGTCAGCCAGAGACTTTAATCATCTTTACATTGGTCTTTTCTGTTTGTACCTGTTTGCCCCTCGACGACAGGCCAGCGTCGCCCCCCAGCCGTCCCTCCAGGTTGTCGGTGCTCTCTCCGTGTCGGCACAGGTAGATGGTTCGCGGCTGGACATGGATGTTCATCAGGTAGTACACGATCTTACTCTGAATGTGATCCTGGTTGCGGTTGACGAGAAAACGGCGACCCACATCTATGACTTTGATGAAGGAGAGGTCCCTGGAGGGAGACGGCAAACAGGATGGGGTGAGTGATGCGAGTGTGAAGGTTTGTGTCAGACGTGGGGTGTGTACTGATAAAAATCAGTGTTACCTGTCATAGTGATCAGGGTCCAGAGGTTGGTAGCTGGTTTTGTAACATTCAATTCTCCTCTGGAAATCCAGCATGGCATCGGTCTTGTTGCAGTCGCGGTAGTCCGGACAGGACACCTTCACTTCCTGCACAGGGAGGAAAACTGTCAGACGGCAAACAACACGCCTGATGCCAGAGAGTTATTAACATTTGAATTTGTTTAAAGCAACGTAAGGATGATAACGTGTGTGTGTGTGACTCACCATGATGTTCGAAGCGATAACGTTGGGATCATCGCACACAGACTCAATGAAGAAGACCTGTGCAGAAGGAGGAGATGTCATTGAATGTGCTGCACTGGGTCCAGTCTCGTAACTTGGCTGCTGTGGTTGCCGTAGCAACACATACCTTGAAGTCGTTCTCACTGCCAAACTTGAGGATCATGTCTCGTCTCTCTCTTGTCGTGTTGGTGGCGTCAAAGACCTAAAAAAACATCAGAGAGCTTTATAAGATGATGGCTTTTCATCAGGTTGTACATGAGTATACAGCTTTTGAAAAGCATGAGATGCATGATGGGAAACTCACCGCTACTTGGCCTCCTTCATCCTTCAAATAGGACTTGACATCCCTCAGGGCTGCTAAGGCACACTGCCTGAAGAACAAAGATGATGAACGTGTCAATCAAGTTACTGTTTAAAGATATTAACAGTTGTGAGTGTGTGAGCGGAGGGATGGGAGACTTACTGCCTGATCTTCACAGCACATTCATTATCAGGCTTGAAGAAGTCATAGGAGCTGTAGTTCTTGACCGCCTCCCTGCGGTACTCTCCTACGTTGAAAACTACAACACACACAGAAGGATACAAGCAAGTGTGAACACAATGCCCTAGAAACATAACGCCATCGTGTAATCAACAAGCTGTTCTCACATTTAAATGTGGGTTTTGTGAGTGTCGTGTACCTTTGGTGGGCATGCCGATCCAGTTGAGGTAGCGGGTGAGTTTCTTGGACATGTACGTCTTGCCTCTCGCCGGCAGACCCACCATCACGATGACGGTGGGGGGGTTGGCGGAGTGAGGGGCGCCAGATGCTGCAGAGAGGGGTGGCAGGGGGAATATGTCATGACAACTGAGCCTGTTGACAAAACTACAAAAAAGTAAACATTGTACTTAACAAGACATTTAATTTAGCCAATGAAGGAGCAGAAGACTTCAGGGGCAGAATTTAGAACAAGTGTCACTGAACAACAGCAAGTAAACTGAATAACAACACGCAGACCAGACATCAGCTGGCCACTAAGAACTACAACCAGCCTGAATTTATTACAACCTCTGCCCTATAATCTCCATTTCTTCCTGAGCTGACCCAATGCCAGCGAGCACGTGGCTGTCTGCTGCCCCCAGCCTTGGCTGTTACTTCCACCTCGCTGCACGTCTGACCCACTTTTAAACTGCCCTGCACGAGCCAGGATGAACTCTATTCACTTGATCAGATATACATTAACCCCAGCGCCTGAGGCCCACTTTACAGTAAGTCGTATGTTCCTGCAGGCCGGTTCATGTTACCGTAGCTGCTCGGTGGGAGACTGATGTCAGAGGAATGCAGGGCACTGATTCTACCTGTAAAAGATCCTCTGTAGGTCACTGAGTCATGAATACTTTTCATGGGAAATTTCTTCAGCAAAAGAAGCTGTTTTTTGAACCAGATGCAGAGGTGCCTTCCCCCTTTGCATCACTGCAATAGTAGACATCAGAGAACTCCCCGAGAGCTCAAATCTACGCTTCCTCACAGAACTCCTGATGTTGTTTCACAAGTACCACGTTGTCTAAATGGAAAAACTGATTAAACTCTAAGTCAGTGTGAGCACAACCCAGATTCTCTGTTCTTCTCTCCTCCATCACCATCTCACCTCCAGCATCCCACCTCTATCCAGTATGAACTCATTAAACTTCATAGTTCTTGATTACGCATTTAAAAAAAAAGCCATGTCTGAAGCACAAGTGAGGTAGAAGCTGGGGCTCCAGCTCCAGCTCAGTTTACACCGTGCATCACTGCAACCGCTCATTCTGTCTCCTTCAGTTTGTTGATTTAGTGTTACTTTAACCAAGGTAACAAAACACGTTTCAGGTGAGGTCACTGACAACACGCCAACGCCAAGTTATGCACGTTGTCCTTCATGTTTGCCTGAGAAACAGACACTCAGTCCCATCAGTTCCTTCTATCACAGCTGATCATCCTCGGATGTTTTTCAATCAATGCAAAAATAATTACTTAACATGTTATTAAAGGCATCAATTCATGAGGCAAAGACTAGGGCTGTACCACTTTAATAAATTAGCAAATTGGGGAAAAAAATATGACTTTATTATAACTGCTGTGAAACCATTAAAGGGCGCTGGCTTAGCTGGCAGTCCCGACAGTTCCTGTCTCGGACAGATGTAACTGTGAATGGAATTTCTCTGTAAGGGATTAATAAAGTATTATTGATTGATTGATTGATATGTGCTTTGTACGGTTGTTCTAGCAAAATATTTTCAGTTATGTTAAAGAAATCCCCTCTCAAAATCGCATTTTCCTGTATAATATTCCTTTATGTTACATTATTCTTCATTAGCTTTAAATGTTCTCAGGCTGTAGCATTGACAGGTAAACACAATAGGACACGCAGATTGTTATTCTAGTTTTTAGCCAGGTGAGACGCTTGTCTTTTCTCGGTTTAAATGTGAACATGTTTGACCTCCGTCTTTCTTAAGACTCATCCACTCCAAAAACCTGAGGAGACAGCTTCTCTGTGGCATTTAACTCTCTTTTTCTCGTCCCTCTCCGGGTATCTCTTCGCAGTGGTCGCCGCCGCAGCATCACGGTCGAACCATGTGAACGTGCGCTGCCGGCGGACCAATCAGAAACCGGCGCCGGCTTCTAAAGCATCACGCGCAGGTGTCTGGACCCGGCGGTTCCCATGGCGACGGGAGCCTCGTCATGCTCCAGTTTGGAGAGCCGCGCGTGCTGACCAAGACCACCGGTGAGTTAAACTGACCGGCGGAGGTCAGCAGGTGCGCGAGGACTGCGATACATCCGCAAAAACACGGTAAAATTACTATTTTTTAAATAAAGAAATAAAATGGCAGCTCCACAGAGAGACTTAAAGTGCTAAAAAGATAAAGTTTATCACTAATTCTCCACACTGTTTGTCTCGTTACTGTTACTACCGTAGCAGTGACCCAGAGATGCTAACAGCAGAGCTCACGCGGTACTAGATGTCGTCAGCCATTAATGATTAAAAACTAATTAGCGCCAAACTGTGAGTCCAAGTAGAAATATTAGAGGGTCGGACCACCACCACCACAAGCTAATAATTATTCTACATATCAAGTAATAGCGAGAAATACACACAATAAAACCCGTAAAGATGGCAGCCTCTTACCTCTCCGCCTGTCATCCTTGGTGGGAACCCAGATCTTTTGGATCCTGTTCTGGGTGAGCTCTCTGGGCATTCCTTATTGGCTCGAGAACCGCACAGCACACAGGAACCGAGTCGCTTAAGATCCCGGAGTGAGAAGACTTGGTAAAAATAAACAAAAATGAAAAGAGCCGGTGTTTTGTCTCTGAGTCTGGTCCGTGTGTCCGTTCAGATGCTGTTGGGAGTGTGTGCAGAGCGCCGGGAGTCGAGCTAATCTGCCGGTCTGCGGCTCACATCCGCTATTTAACCCCGCCCGGAGCAACGTGACAGCATGACGACACACACACACAACACACACACACGCACACAACACACACACACACACACACACTCCACAGCGCCTCACTGTGGTAAACTTCTTTACTAGCTCATCAGTCAACAGCCTCATTTTTATGATCACGAAAGGCTCAAATAAAACCGGTCGCTTTATTGTGTCTGTTTAGCTTCTATTATATCAGCAGCACCATAATAATAATAATATACTAATAATTAATTGCTGCTCTTTTATTAGACTGTGTGTGTTTTATGGTTTTATAAGGCGTTGCTGTGGGCGTTTAATTAGCTCCCTGTGGTTTTAACGTGTATTTGAATGCGATTTCCATCTTCTTTTTATTATTTTAAGCTGATATTTATCTATTCCCAATACCAGGCTTTATGATTTAACCCTTTTTCAGGATTCCTATATCAATGATTAAACCTTTTTCTGCATCTGAGCAACAGAACAGATAATGCAATGTGTGAAACTCGACTGATTTTTCCCCACATCCGTGCCTGTTGTAATAAAAGAGGCATTTAGCTCTCCTGAGACCACCCTACCTGCTGCCCCTGCAGTCTAAAAGCATAAATCAGAGGTGGATGAGACGTGCAGAGAGACACATCTTCTCTCCTCCTGCTTCCTCACTCTGGGTTCTCCCATTGAGTCACGATGGGTAAAGTTGTGCATATAGCGATTGGGTGTCAACTTTCGAAACCCCACATTGGCCAAACTCATTGTCATCTCAGTGCACATTTAGGGGAAATGTTGAAGGAGACTCCCTTGGTATATTACAGTACAATTAGCTCAGATTTAGATGCTAAATATACCCTGCAGAGGGTTTGATTGACAGCTGAGGGAGCTGGGGAGGTTGTCTGACCTCATGTAAAATCAAAAAAAGACATATAGTGAACACTTTAGTTAGCACAAAAAGGTTTAAAGAACTGACTTCACAACTTGAACAGTCAAAATTGTGTTTTTTTGTATGCAGATTGCTTTAACTAATTCTAACATTTACCTCTGTTTGTTTGAGTTGTAACTTATAACCTGAACTTAGGACGAGAGACACCATCTGATTCTTTATTTCTCCCAAGAAAATACTGTAAAATATCAAATTTAAAGGCTTTCTTATTGTATATCATTCTCATTACTGACTTTATTATGACCTCATTTTATTTGCAGTGTACTTGTCTGTGAAGCTTCCTGTAGCACCTCTCTAATAAGTACTGTATAATTAGAATAAACATTAAAATATTTCATACATTGTAAGTGTTTTTATTGTGGCTGCACTGTAAAAGGAAAGCTGTTCATTTGACACCAGTCCTGTAATTTCCTACAGTGTGCTGAAATTCCTGTGTTGCCTCAGTTTGGACTTGAAAGCCTTCTGAACTCTCTCCAACCTCTTCTGAAAAACATGGTTCTTTATGTCAGTCCCACTAATATCCTGTTTACTGTCTAGAGTTTATTAATTGGAGTGACAAACTCCTTCCTGTTGACCACCTGAACAAAGGGCAGCTGAGAGATGAAAGAGAAACCCTCTGTAGCTGTGGTTGTCATATACTGTACATCCTTCTACAGTGGTAGAATGTAACTAAGTACTTTTACTCAAGTACTGAGTGTAATTTGATGCCCTTGTGCTACTTTTTACTTCTTATCCTTCATAGTTTGGAAGTTTTTGTACTCCACTACTTCTACTTTAAATCCTTACTTCCTAGTTTGTTTGTTTTTTGGAGAATATTGATTTAAATCAACTAATAAACAACGCTGTATATTAAGCTACCCAGCACTATATAAAGTAATTCAAATTAGCTCTAGTCAATAATATCAAAAAATGTAATATATATGATTCTGAAATGGGAAATTCTGCATCATGAGTACTTTTACTTTATGTACTTTAAATATATTTTGATGCCAATACTTTTGTTCTGTCACTTATTCCGATGTTTTACAGTGTAGTATCCCTACTTTTACTTAAGTAACAGATCTAAATACTTCTTCCAGCACTGTTTAAATATTACTTCAGATATTTTTTTCAAACAGAAGTGACTTAGAAAAGGGACTGAAACAAGGTCAGATTATGCTCATTCCACCTGAACGATTCAAACGTGTCACAGTCTGAAGTGAAAAGGTTCAGGTGGAGAAACTGTCATTGTGAAACTAGACCAACACAAAAAGAGAACAGTAGAGATAAAGTTTATAGGAACACAGATACAGTTTCTGGGTTTTTATCACCTTGTTTCAACTTCACACTCACTTTCATTCAAATAGCAAAAAAAAAAAAAAGAAAAACATGCCTGCTGGGGAAAAGTGCAGATGACTCAACTAAAGCTTAAGCAACTGCAATACTGCCCTGGGTTCAGTTTATCAAATGCTCTATACAGCATATGCTGAAAGAGAGACACTGATGTAGATTGTTTTCCGCCTCAGGAGGATAAACTGCTTGTCTGTCTCGGAACCAAGTTTCCACAAAAATAGGTGTCAGTCCATATGGGGCGAGGGCTAAATGAGTAAACGGTAATTAAAATGATATTTATGAGGAAAACACTTGATTAAGTCTTTGGTCTTTAATGACATTTACTTTGATTGATGTCTTCTTTCTGGACACTAAACGCTTCATGGTTTGTAAATGAGACTTTAATTGAAATACGCAGTGATGGAACAGGGGCGAGTCTCTGCTTCAAAGTGTAAACAAGAGGTCAGCAGAAGGACAACATGGTTAAATGAGTACAACTAAAACAATATTGTTATTGTAGCATGACACACAACATTAAAACCACCTTGTTAATGTTGTGTAGGCCCGTCTGATGGCATCAAAACAGCTCTGACCCATCGAGACCTGGACTCTACGGAGCTTTGAAGGTGTCCTGTGGTATCAGACAGCAGATCCTCTAAGTCCTGGAAGTAGTGAGCTGGAGCCTTAATGGATCAGACTCTCCTTCCCCGGTAAACCACGCACACACTCCCAGACATCACAAGATGTGGTTCATGAGACATTATGAAGACCTTTGTACAGTTTTGTCATCTTTTTCAGCTGCCAGATGTGCCACCTTAGTAACATTTACTGCGTTCAGTAGTTCCTACCAGTCCTCCATGTGTGCAGTACTTAGTACCGACCAGAAGAAAGAATAACTGGGGCATCAGTGTCAGGTTAATGTTCGCCCAAGGCTCTTTCACTTTTACTGGACAAGGCAAAACAGAAACCACTTTTTTTTCCCCCAATGATTGTCAGTAAATGAAATGAGTCTGGGATAGCCTGTAAAAGTGTGCTTGTTTCCACGCTAGTAGATGAATAGAATGATATTCAAGATCAGTGTTGCTGATTCAATATCTGAGCACACATGAAACATGGTCACCATCTCCCCTTCTAATCCTGAAAAGTGTGTGAATTCTGCAGAACTCTTGTGAGATCAGAGTGATCTTTGACCACCAAAGTATAACCAGTTAGTTGTTTATTTCATTGTAATGTTTATGAGAAATGTAAAGAAATTCCCTGAAGGCGCTGAAGAAATGTCCAGCTCACAACAACGAGACGGACAAACAAGCCATAAACATGAGGCCTCTGGACTGGGCTGTCACCAGCAGGCAGCGTAATTAAAACAAGTCATATGCACACAGAGTTTTCACATGGAAGTAAATATAAAATACAGTGAAAGCAAGAACTTAGAGTGTTTCGACAACAATTCCCCCTTAAGGGAGCATTTGGTGACAGTGGAGAGGATAAACTTGCTTTTAACAGGAACAGAACCAAACACAGGGTGGCGGCTATTTGCCTCAACAGGTTTGGGTGAGAGAAGAGTGGAGAGAGAAAAGATGGGAGTTGAGAAACAACAAACAAATAAAGACATGTAGGTCCAGTAACTGCAGCTCCAGAGGTACCTGAGAGAAATGCCAGGAGGAAAAAGCATCAAGTCGGCGGACAGAAGACACAAAGTTAATATCGTGCAACGGTTTTTATGGAGATAAAGGGGGAGGAGAGGTGCTCAGAGCATCATGGGAAGTCGTCCTGCAGCCTCGGCCTACAGCAGCATATTTAGGATAAAATCAAGAGATACGTTTCAGCATGTTTTTGTAGATAATGCGATCCATAACTAGATGATTAAGGCTGCATACCCAGTTCTGTTGTGGTTGTTGCTGGAAGCCTCCAATAAAGCTGCAGCAGGTGATCGTAGTATTCTTAAAAGCGCGTTGTTAACAAAGGAAGCCCCGATGTAGCATGGTCCTAGCACAACGAGAGGACAAAGAGGATGACCTGGAAGTGTTGCAGGAAGTCAGTGCAGAGCAGCTAAAACTGGACATCATTTCTTCAGCATCCTTTTGATTCATGTGTTCTTGTATCTTAGCTTTATTTATAAAGTGGTAACAGGTCCATTTGGAAATTTAAGTTCAGTTAAGAACCTAAGCAAACACCAAGACTTGTAACCTCAGATTTGACATAAGAAGTGCGATTCTCCAGCCTGGACAGCGTTTTTCTTCTGGCTTTAGGTCTGAATACTAGGATTTCAGGTTTGTCCTGGTTTAGTTTTTGGATGTTGTTACTATTGGTTACCCAGAGCAACTGAATGTGCAGCTTCAGGAATTAGTTATACAGTTGCATGTCATCAACTTGAACGGAAATCTTCACTCCTTGATGTAAAGTGCCTAAATCATATAAAAAATGGGCACCCTACAAGCTCAGTACCTCGCTTTTAAAGGCTTCTGTAGCAGCCAAGAGTCTCTCAGTTCCCGTTTTAGGGATTTTCTTCCTACAAAAGGCTTCTATGAGATTCTTGGGCCCTGTTGAATGCTCTGCTCTTTGGAGGCCTATCTACAGATTTATTTCCATGACGTCTAGGTGGAGGGACTGTGAGGGCAAAATCTTCAGCTCATGCCCTCTTATATTGTAGAAGCCGTTCTCTTTTCATCTCCAGCTTTTCTACAGACTGTGTGACGTTGTTTGCAGAATTGCTGGTATTTATTTGAATCAGCTCTTCCTTTTTTTCCGGTAAGACGCTCGTTGCATAACCGGCTACAACAACAGCCCGGAGCCAGATGGATCCACCTCTGTGCTTCACATTCAGACACACGTTTGTTTCATAAAATTCTGAAAAACAGGATTTTGTGGTAATGCTGCAGGAAAGCTTTTCTTCTGATGACTCTTCCCTTAAAGTGTCTCTGTACAGTAAACCAGAGCACCACCACTCCAGAGTCTGGTAAACCTTTTGGAAGACCTTCTGCAGTCAGTCGAGGGTTTTGATTTGCCTCTCTAGCAATCTAAAGAGCAGTCCTTCTGGTACGTTTTCTTGGTTCTGTAGACCTCAACTTGACCCACATTGTTCCTTCTATTTCTAAATTATGCAAGGAAGTGATAAAACAGCTTCCTAAAAACGCTTTGCTATCCTCCTCAGACATGGCAGACATCACTAGTTTTAATTTTTATAGACCTGCTCCCATGGCTGCTGACTGTTGGTTCAAGATTTCAGAAGGTTAGAACATTTGCATCATCGGGCCTTTCTTAACAATGACTGACCAAACAAAGCCTTTACAAGCAAACAGACCCTGATAAAAGTTATCCAAGAGCTAAAACCTCTTACGTATGATGCTTCCTTCCTTTTTTCCACTCTAGAATTGTACCAAACAAATAAAACAGTAGCACTAACCTTTCTTAAAATGCAAAAAAATAATGATGTTTTCCCTCTTGGAGATGAGATCATCCTTATCTCATTCAACTATTCACCGCATCAGAAATGTTGACCACAAACTTTTGCATGACTGTGTGTTTTGAATCAGTTCGACACACTGAGAGAAAGACTGGTGTGTTGTGAAGACAGCCGTGATCAGTCACATCAAACCATTTAGTAAGGTTTAAGCTAGATGAAAAGTAAAACCTCATCTTTGTCTGCGTTGACAGATTATCTTATTGAAAGCCATTTTCGTGCTGAAATTTGTCCTGAAGCCTCATTGAAATTCCTCTATCAACAGATGTAGCTTTCATTAAATAAGAAAATGTATTTGAAACTAAACATTTTCAAGCATGTTTGTTGTCACTGTGCTGCAGCTGGTCAGAGCATCACTGTCTAAGTTGGGCTTCTTTGGTTCGTGTTGTACAGGAGCTGTTCTAAAGGCATCTTGGAACATGCCAGTTTGCAGTTTGCATGCAGGACGTGACCTAGAACAGTGTCAGACACCTGCTTGATAAATGCTGTGAGTTCAGGGTCAAGGTCTGATGTAGAAGAGCTGCACTGACAGATGGTTCACACACAGTAATGAGGCTGAATTTGTTTCATTTCTTGCCTCTTTTTCCCAGAGATCAGTGCTGTTATCTCTGTTGATCCTAGCAGCAATACTGGCCATGACTGTAGTTATTTTGTGTATTTTCATTTTTTTCCCAGAATAATTAGATGTAGCACAGAGTATTTACATTTTCTATTATTATGCACTTAGATTTAAAACAAATAATCCAGTATATACTAAATGATTCTTACATTTTCCTGTTGTCTAACTAGTTTGCATGTATTTACTGGGTTTAAACAGTGCACTCACACTGAATGAATAAAATAAGCAGTGCAGTGGTGACAGATATCACTGGAAGAACCTGGACCATGCAGTAGCCACAGAGACATCAGGATGCTGCACTCATTAATGCATGTAATGAACCATTTCCTTTTAAGCAGCGCTCGGTCTCGTTTTCTGTTTTACGTAAACTGGACGCAGCGTATCCAGGTCAACCTGCAGTCCTGTTCAAACACAAACGGTTACCTTCTGGCACTTGAAGCCACACAACTCATGACCCTCTGACCTCGTCTCAAGTCGCACACACTGGTATTTAGGTCAGGACTCGGTCACCCGATAGCCAGTCACATCCCTCTGCTGCTGTGCACGTTCAGACCACGCTGTCGCCATCAGTCCGACACCCGGTTCCTGCATATACACACAGCCTGCACACACTCTGTGTCCAGAGGTCTGCTGCTGAACCCAACAGCCAGCATGCACAGTTTATGTATTTTTTATTTCGTAAATTGGTTGGTTTTTGTTTCTTTATTTACTTTATTCAAAATCACATTAAAGAATCGTGCAGCGGGTTGCAAGGTGGAGCAGTTGGTTAGAACTGTTGCCTCGCAGCTAGAAGGTCGCCGGTTCACGTCCCGGTGAGGACACCCGGGATCTTTCTGTGTGGAGTTTGCATGTTCTCCCCGTGCAGTGTGGGTTCTCTCTGGGTTCTCCAGCTTTTTCCCACACAGTCCAAAAACATGTTGAGGTTAATTGGTGATTCTAAATTGTCCGTAGGTGTGAATGTGAGTGTGCTTGGTTGTCTGTCTCTAAGTGTAGCCCTGTGATAGACTGGTGACCTGTCCAGGGTGTCTCCTGCCTTCACCCTGAGTCAGCTGGGATAGACTCCAGCCCCCCGCGACCCTAATGAGGATTAAGTGGTGTATAAATAATGGATGAACTGTGCAGCTTTTGTAATTGCAAGAATGTTACGTCTAACTGTGCTTTTGCCATAACCTTTATTGAATGTATGCGACTTGTACTTCTTGTCTTTTCACATCAAACATGGGTTTTTACTCCTCAGCTTCTGCTTATTAACTCATATTCCCTTGACCTTTGACCTCTACATCCCTGCAACATGAATGAAAGAATTAAATCTTCCAAATGGGTCTCTCTTCTGTTTCTCTCTCCAACCCGTTTTCCTGATCTGAATTAAACCTGCTCCGGTGGGATTCCTCCTGACGTTTTTCACCGAAACCTCCAGGGCCCTTCTGCCGCACTTACATAAGTTTTGAATGAGGCTGGGGCTGCGTTCACTGTCCCAGTCCCCTTCCTCTAATCCAGCAGGGCTAAGTTAAGACTGCGGCGCCCCGGGGATGTGTTAACACTACCGAGGAACCAGCATTATGTCAAAAAATTCTGACAGGGAAACTAGGCTTCCTGGACACTGTGCGCTGCTCACAGGATGTCTGCATTCCTGGAATTTAACTTATGTTTTCGCTGTGCAGTGTTTATACCAGAATGATGCATTCCACAAAAGCAGCCTACTCATGCTGACCGAGCTGCAGCAGCCCAGTCAGCATGACTACACATCTAATACAGATTTTTACAGGTAGCTATATTCACCCTAATAATACAGATTCTAAATGTTTGCAAGAAATACTGATACAACTAAAGAAAGTAGTAGTTTATACCCTTTATTTAGTCTTGACATAAAGGTGTCTTTTAATCACAGTCAGTCATCTACAAGATAGACTACATACAGACGCTGCTCTTCAGGGAAAATAAAAAAAGGTTTATGTACAAGTGGGGAGTTGACGTGTGCTAAAAGTGTCTGTTGGTGCTGGTTTAGCTTCCCAGAGAGACGTCAGACCTGCTCGCCGAGGTCCAAAACCCGGAACTTGTCTAGATTGTAGAAGCAGGCCTTGACGACTCGCCCGCCGAAATAACGTCCGTTCAGATCCACCACGGCTGCAGAAGAGAGAGACAGTTAAGGTCAGACAGATAAAACTCAATACAACTGGACTGGTAGGGCATTATGTTAGAAAAAAACAAGCAATATGCAAAAAGAAAAGACTTTTCCATATGTGAGAAGTTCTTGGATTAAGGACTGTTATTTTAAAATGTAGTATTTTTTTAGTAGCCTGTATTGTCTTTATCTTCTTAAACTGTTGACTCCCAGAATGCGGCTTCATGAGGTCCTGTGAAGAAGCTGCAACACTTCCATCCTGTCTGTATCTACTACAACCTGTGTTCGTGTTCTTATTGAACAATCGTACAATGAAGGTTTAGTTTCTTTTAATTATTGAGTTGCTATATAAACACAACAACATGTGTTTATGTCACATCAGGTATCGAAAACTATCTATCATCTAGCGTGACACTTTCAAATAATTCCTTAAGACAGACCGAGCATCGTTCCTAGAGCGTCTGTCCCGCTTTCTGAGAGCTGTGATGTAAGTGTGGTTCTGCTGCCGGCCCTGCAGGGAGACGGCTGGGTTGCTGGGCCGCGGATGATGTAACGCCGCAGGGAGCCGAGTCTCACCTTGTTTCTGATCTGGGCCGACCCATTTAGAATGGGACACACTTTCACCCACATTATTAGAGCAGTTATACAATCTAACGAAGAAAGCGGTGTCATTATGTAAAGTTCATCTCGATTAGGAAACAGCTGCCAGATGCAATAGTGGTTTTAAAATGGCTCAGTGAATGTAGAAATACACTGGAAATGTGTAGGCCAACCATTTAGGGTGTCAAGTTTCGAGTGTCAACCGAGGTCCACACTCTGTTGAGACGTCCAACGCGTTTTGAACCAATGTTTCAAGTGAAAGATTCAAGCTTTGACTGTGGAGTCACTTGTCATCATTATTTCTTCTGATGTTTTTTGGCTTTAGAAAAAAAAATCAACTCTAAGCAGAAGGGACATGCATGTAAACACTGACCTTTGATGGCTGACTCCACTCTCTCGAACTCCAGAAATATCCTGACAGCTTCATCATCTGGCACTTCTGCAATCTGAGAGAAAAAACAAACGTCTTTCTTTCGATGTCCTGTTTGATTGCATTGATGTAGTCTTATCAGGATCTGGTCTATATCTGTCTCACCTCAAAAATGACACATTTCACCACTTTGCCGTACTTCTCGCATTCTTCTTTGGTCTCTCCTTCCAAGTCTTCATCCACTTCTCCTCGGCCCACCATGTTCTAAAAAACAGACACGTAAGACCTCGTTCCAATGGATATCAGAGAACACTGAACTCTGACGTAACCCCTCTCACCGAAATACAGTCTCAAGGTTATTAGTTTGTCATTTTGTGATTTCAAAAACTAAATTCCGTACTGAAAATGCTTTCTGACGTCAGGCTGATTTCTGTGTCTATGTTAAATGGGCACCTTGTGTTCTGTTTTGTGAAATATTTTGTAGAAACAGGACAGAGACTCATTATTACTCTGAGTTATCTGACAATACTTGTCAAGCCCAGACAGTGAGCTTTTAACGACCACAGAAGAACACACACGTACCCTCAGCAGGACCACTTTGGTCGGGTTTTTGAGGATCTCTGTGAGCGGGTTAGCCTCCGTCTTCTTGGAAGAATCCGCTGTTTGGATGGAATGAGAATCAGAAGTCATGTGTTTCACAGGCTGCAGGTAGATGGAGCAACTGAAGGTGCATGACAACACATAGTACTGTGTGGTATTATTCAAGACAAGGAGTTTGATTCAATACAGGTGATAAATGAAACAATTCTGCAGACGTTTTGTTAAAAAGGTTTTGAAAAATACTGCTGTGTGAGTGCTGAGCCGAGGTGATATCTACTTTGTCAACACGGTGGCCGTTTTCATCACATTATAAAGCACTGCTTTTTATTATTGTGTTAAATGTGCTGCTGAACTACACCTCCATATGGGTCACTCAAGCGTAGTACTATGGTTAGGCTTCCTGGAAACCAACCAAGCAGCAGAGGGAAATATACAGAACAAATATAGGGTAAAGGATTAATTGGTTTGAAGACTAACAAAAAATAATTAGTACTTTTAACAAAATAGTCACTTTTGAAGCAAAAAAGCCAAATATTAGTTCTTTGGTTGCAGCTTCTATAATCTATTCTATCATCTAACTGAGGAGCTTCATCTAACTAATTTAACGTTTTCTTACTTCAGCTCGAAAAAAGTTGTCGGATTGGCTGCATTTTGTCCAAACATATGGCCAACAAGTGGAGTACAGTAGTTTGTTGAGCTGTGATATGCAACGTCATCTAAAAACACCAACTGTCTGTTAGGACATTCTGTCTGTGTTTAACACTTGGGCTTTGAGTTTTAACATATCAGAATTGTCATATTTCAATATGTTGTGCTTAAATAATCGTTGTATATGAGCAGGCTGATCCAGCGACAGATTTAACAGCTACAGTATGTGCCAGGAGCAGCAGCTACAACCAGAACAACAGTCTCATCACAGTGAGAGAAAAATATATTATGATGGGAATTGTTAAAATTAATAAATGATTTAAAATACCAAATACAAGTTTTTTTCATTTATTTATAATTCATTAAGGCCAATAAGGCTACCAGGTAGAGTGCACTCTTCTTCGCCCAAATGATTGGATGAAGAGTAGATCTGATGTCAGATTTTCTTTGGTTGACCTGAGCCTTGCTAGAATGAGAGGCGGCTTTGCTTCTGTCATATATCACTGTATACACACACCATTGAGTTTGGATGTTTGGTTGACCAAAATAAAGCAAGATGGCACCTAGGACACTGGAATGTTGCGATCTGTGTTTTTCCACAATTGACATTTCTCACGCATAACAATTAAGGCAGAGCTGGCGTCGAGTATGTTTATAGTGTGGTTTGGCTAACAGCGATGTGACGCCAAAACTACAAGGCCAGCTGTCACGAACCTCGATTGAAAGGTGGAGCGCGTGCAAAGCAAGACAACTCATTACATTTTGGTGCAGACTCAGATCGCTCTGCGAGATGGGACACTGGCCTTGGTGTAAAACTGCACTCTCTTAATGCCTTTCTAGTAAAAACCTAATCGACAAATTGGTAATAAAAAATGACCATTAGTTTACTGAACATATGCAGTCAATGTGACCCTTCAAGCTAATCCTTCATTTAACGCACTGGAAGACTGATACAGCACAACCTTAAAACAGAGCAGTCCTCAGATTTGTGATTAGGGGACGATCAATGTCCTTAAAGGGCTAAGAGTGACGGCGTCTCATCTAACTCTTCTTTATTCTGTACAGTGTACAGTTTGGATAACAGCTTTACTTGGCTACAGAAAACTACAACAGCTTTGCAGAAAATGCAGCAGTGATGACCCCCTCATCCTACCACGACATCTAGTGGCCAGCAACAAGTACTGCATACAGGAATCAAAGGGAAACACTGATGTTTATAAATCAATGCAAATAAATACTAAATACACATCATATTTACCCTTTTCCTCTAGTTTGTGTGTATGTACAAAGGTAACCTTTAAACTGACAGTCAGTGAAGCTGATGAACGGCACACTAAGAGCTAAATTCTGATCTATAAGCCATAATGACATGTATTTAGGGGTTAGGAGGATAGGTTCAAAGAAAAAGGAAAAAATGCAGATGCCAAACACTGGATGGATGCAGGCGAGTCAGAGTCAGAAGCAGAGCTGTTAGACGGGGAAAATACGGGAGATCTATAACTCAGTTTGAGCTGACAACAAACAGCATGCTGTAGAGGTAACACCTATCCTCATGTGGTAAACAAAGACTATAACTAAAACTAGGCCAAAATGAAGCTAGAAGGAGGGAGGCCACACTGCAGCGTTGACAGAGAAACTACGGGCAGAGCTCGTTCATGCAGGACTCAACAGAAATTCATGCAACCACCAGGTCTAGTTCTGCAGAGCTGTCATACTTACACAAGGGTTGGAACCACTAAGCTTGAATCAGGCACTAAGCATCACTGCTCTCCATGCGTCTCCATGTGACAACACACGTGTACAAAATACATGCAAACACACTCACACACACTTAAAAAGGGCAGCACATGCTGCGTATGGGAGAGAGAAAATGGAGAGGAGGCCAACCTGCAGAGCCTCCGATTGAAGTCTCAGCAGCACCTGACTGGCTGGACCCTGCTGCTCAGTCGCACACAAAAACACACACGCGCGCGCACACACACACACACGCACACATACACAAAATGAAAGACATGCACACAAAGTCAATGTAAAACATCTAGCTGATGCTAAAATGACACTGTGGTCGTCACCGACAGCTGGAAAGCAAAGATATACATGAAAACATCAATAGTGATCACTTGTCTGGACTAAAAGCCAACGCAGGCTGCACACCGACTGGGACGAGCTTGAGACAATACAAGCAAAAGTAGCTGTTCATGCAGCTGACAGATAAAATGACTTGAAAGCAGACAGTGTGAAAGAACACAAAGAAAAGTAAAGAGATACATAAAGAGCAGAGCATCAGTGGCACAGACACACAGAGGCAGCACTTACGTTTTTCTGCTGCGTCGCCTATGATGATCTTCCCTCCTCTCTTGCTGGTCTTCTCCACAGACAGCGCTGTGCTCAGGCCCTGCTCGTGCTTCCCCAGACCCTGGCCTTCTTTGAAGCCATACTTCTGCATAATCTTATGGGCCACCGTACCCCTGCAGGAGAAGACAGGAGAATTCTGGGTTCAAAAAGTCTGAATTTGTTGCAGTACTAAAGCTGACTGTCATCAGTGTCATTTACATGTATTTACACTGAGTATGAGCTGCCTGCCCACAAATAATCCATCCACATTTACTCAAATTAAATGACTGTTTTGTTTTTTTAACTTAACGCTGATAAATCACAGACAATGTTCAACTAATACACTGTATAACAAAGTCAATGCTGTTAAAAGTGTCGGCGTTTTTATGTAATTTAATTAATTTCAAGGTATTACATGAAACCCAGTGTGCCTGCTTGTTGTGTATCTGTTTGTGAGTGTATTTGTGTGTCCCACTCACCCCATGTTGGCCAGGAAGGAGCTGGTCGGGCCGGGCGGTGAACGTGGCCGGTCTGAGTCGTCGTACATCGGTGGAGGGATGGCAGCCTTGGAGCCTCTGGCAGGGCGACCCTCATCCTCGTAGGAATACGAAGCGGAGCCTAAACACACACAACAAAACATGGTCATAGTTGGAATGTAGCGCAGCACTAAGGAGCACAAATGAAATTTTTCATTAAATGTTTACTTCTAAGTCACATTTAATAGATGAAATGTAGACTTTCGATGGTCATGTCTTATTTAATTGGATTTTGTAGCTATTTGTACTGTTTTATAAACTTAAAAAACTAAAGATGCTGTTAAAACAAACACTAACTCTCTCTTTTTTCAATAAACAAAATATAAAATGTGACTATTTTGACTGATTTGATGCAGGGATGCAGCGTTAAATACTTGGACAGACAACAGTGCCCTCTGCTGGGCTAACAGATACCATGTGATTGTGTGTCCACAGGATCCCACACTCCTCCTTCATTATGGATGTAAGTAGCAGTGCAATTCATTTATACTGCATTAAAGTTTGTATGAGCAGTAGTTTATGAAAACTGTGCACCCAGCACAACGTTCTGCCTCTAAAACATAAAATAAACAAACCAACCGGCTGCACTAACACAGGCTTCATTGCTCATGTGTCACACTATAACAATTCAGGTATATTTGGCCCATTTTCCCCATCAAACTAAATCTGAACACCATTTATGTGTTTGTCCATTCATACTGAAGCAAACTGTGTCATTTCTGTCCCGTTTGTTTAAAAGTCTAGGGTTTACCATTTACTGTTTCTGAGCCAGAGGTTCTGCTGTTGTCACTGTGGCTTCAGTCTGCTGATGTTTAGAACTGACAAGCGTCACAGGGTATTCCAGGCAGTGTCACTGTCCAGATTCAGACAGCACTGGACTTTCCCAGAGGTTTTGCATCAGCAGTCAGGCAGTTTTAACATCCAGTCAGGCTGTCCACCTGCTTGGGCTGCTTAGCCACATTAGCCACCACTTCCTCCGTAATTGCCACGTAGTGAGCAGAACACTATTTGGCAGCATGCACCTTTAACATATCCTTAAGGCACAAATACGTTAACATAGTCTCACTGCCTTCACTGTACGTGGACCGTTTATGCTTACTGTTGAGCATTCTGCAGTGGCTCATTCTGAGCAGGAACATCAGACTTACCATCTCTGTCCACAAGTGAAGACGGAGGGGCGATGGCTGCTCCGCCCATACCTGGAAGAGAAAGGGACAAACCCAACAGTCAGGCAAGTGAAATGTACTCTTTGCTGAGATTTTGACACATGATGACTGTGGTGTATAGCTGGAAAACTATTTGTATTGTCTCAGAAGTTCCTACTGTACCCCATGACCGTGTAAATCAGTTATGCTCATGTGCTAAAATACTTTTGTTTCTCTTTTAAGTCCCATTGAGCATCACGTGGTTGACCAGTCTCAGCCTCTAAATGGTCATTGTTTTCTGTGACCAAAACAACAAGCCAGAAACCACATAACATCTGTGAAACACGGACAGTTTTAGTTCCTAAAAGAGGACATGTCTGTTGGAAACCAGATGATGGTAAATGACCAAATGATGTCAACAGAATTAGGTTTCAGACAATAGTGTAAGTATCGATTACTGGTTTAACTCAGATTAGTGTGTAAAAGCTCTGTTAGCTTTGCAGAGCTGCTTACTTGTCCATCAGGGTCAAAACATCCCAGACAAATTCTCTACCATACAGTGTTTTAAGCACTTGAGGTGGGAAGTACTCACTTCGTTTCCTCCGCTCCTTCTCATACTCCTCCTCCTCATCTGAGTCTTCCTCTGCCGCCGGGAAGCGAGAGAAGCCGCTCGGAGCTCCACCGTCATGCCGGTCTTTCCTCTTCCTGCAATACACCAAGTTTACGATTTAATCCTGCGTTTGTGGAGTTTTGTGCCAATTATTATTAAATAAGAAACAACCAAACCCCAGCACGTGTTTTTGGGTTTGTATCAACAACAAAAAAGATAAATAAAGCGATTCATTTTGTGTCAAATTCAAAGTGTAGGACTACAATGTTTCCACTGTTTCATCTGCACGTTTGGCACTTTCTTGCTTCTACATTGCATCCAGCAGAGTAAACAAACATGGCAGTACTTTTCCCTCTCCTCGATCTCCTTCTGTCGCTCCTGCTCCCTCTGTCGCTGTCGTTCCTCTCTGTGTCGCTTCACCACCTTCTCATAATCGTTGGGGAACATCGGGTCGTACTCATCTGCCAACGGTATCAGCACGTCGCCGGAAGAGAAACCACTGGGAACCGCATCCTGGAGCAAGCACAAAGATAGACGCAGGACAAATCCAAGAAATGAGAGTCGACACAGATGATATCTGCAGCTGATCTGGATATTCAACAAATACAGTGTCGAGTTTTTGTGCCACTCAAATTCACTCCCAACCCCACAGATTGCTCTGTGTCATGTTATTAACATTATGTTCATGTTGTAATGTTTTTAAATTATGTAATGTTTTAAATGCTGTAAAGCACTTTGTGTTGCTGTACTGTATGAAAAGTGCTATATAAATAAAATTTGATTTGATTTGATTTGATATACCAAAGCCTTCACTCTGCATTCTTGGCTAGGGTTCAAAACTTAAATTAAACAGGGGTAGTTATAGTCACGTCATCCACATAAAAACCTGGATTACATGAACACAGACAGACCTTGAGTCCAGCAGCAGCATGTGGAGGAGTGTCAATGATCTGTCGCTCATCACTGGAACCTCCTCTCTTTAGATCAATGACAGGCGCCAAGACAGTAGTCTGCTTCATCCGCTGGGTCTACAGACACACACAGAGAGACACACACACACACCCTCTAGTTGACAATAGTCCTGTGTTGTAACTGTGTAAAGCATTCTGAGTGCATTTTAATGTCACTGAAGACCAAACATGCACAATTGTGTGCACACATGCTGTGGACACATTAGCATGTATTCACTTCTTAGCGGCACTGACATGTTATCGTGTTCGTCCTCCAGTGAAATCAAGACTTTTACCTTGTTAACTTATTCATATTGTGTTTTATATGCTGGAGGACATATCATGAGAGATAAAGGCTGCCAATACCGTGGCAGTTTCACTTTAAAACTGCGGTGTACTGATGACAGTCTCAAAAACATGGATTCAGAATTTCAGGGGTTTATACATAACAAACCTCAGGAACCAAACCATCATCTTGCAGGGTGATCGTTTCTGTATCATTACTCTTCTTCAGAATCATTTTCCAGTTGAAACACCCCAACATTACAACTTGCAATCGTGTGCCATTGTGATCAACAGCACCAGTTATAAATGATAAATTGAATTTCTGCAAAAAGACTGAAAGCAGGTGATTAAAATGTGCACTAAAGCACTGCTGTGATGATCTCGGAAAGTATTTAATCTTTTATAAGCAGCAGTTTGACATGTGAAGGCGGAGAGACGTGAGTGTGTAAAGAGTTGATGTTAATGAAGAGGTCATTCAGGTTTTTGCTGTGCTATCATTACAGCGTTGATCAAGGTCAGAATTTTGTTAGTATGGCTTCAGTGCTTATAACTGTTCTGCACTTACCTTGGCCTGCGTCAGAGCTGCCTTCTTCACCTTCAGCTGGGACTGCAGCAGCTTGAAGTTCTTGGACCATCCTTCGGTCTTGGTGTCACTGGCACCCACACCGAGGTCATCGTACAGCGACATTGCTGCAAGTCAGTGCTCCTGTTGATACCAAACACACACAGGTTTCATTTGTCATTACCAATAACTACCTCGAGGATCATCATCTTGTTCTCCAGTACTTTGAGAGAAACAGTAGCTGTTAATAATACAGTACAGTATACTGAGGTATGGAGGCAGACAAAAGGATAAAAGGCATGGTTTGTAAAATAATATTAATTAACTTAAACAAGAAGTTAAAAATGAGTCCAGCTTTAGATTTTTTTGCAGGTTCTTCCATGTTTCAGGTTCCAATGAGGAAAACTTGAAGCTCAGTAAAACAACCGGTACCTTCAAAGTAATACAATCATTTAAGCATTTTTGGACCAAGTTCCACATTGAAAACACAGTCATGAAGTAATGTAATTTAATATTATTATTTATCTATTTATTTTTACAAAAAAAACAGCATGGGCTTGTGAGCTGTATGCTAACTTATCCTAGCATACAGCTCACAGTGATGTATATTATACTTATCAGCAGTAATAAATCTAAATGCAGTGTGTTAAATGGTGTTCAACAGCTGATGAATCATAGCATGTATGTATAAACGCCATAAACCATTAGGAATTTCAGAAAGCTGCCTCAATAAGCGTTTTCTACAATGCAGGAAGAAACATAATTTATTCCTGCAGAAGAAAAACGAGAATTTAGTCGCCAGGTTGTACACATGATAGCTACCAGCTAGCTTCTCCTCTGTGTATAACCCTCAGATAACTGTACTCTGTAACTTGTTAGACATCTGTACTGGTAGAGTAGAGATGACCAGGCTGTCTTAAGCTATGTTAAGCCATTTGTAAATCTGTCACTATTGTTTGAGTATATTTTTAACACCCAGCAGGCCAGGAGAAGCTGGCTAACTGTTCACATTAGCCAGCTAAGCTAAAGCTAGCATTGCTCCTGAACCTTCTGCTCCGGTACGAACAATGGTCGTAAACAACCTATTTTAGCTGCGTCACAGCTTAGCAAAGCTAAAAATATGTGGACTTTAACTAAAGGTAAACGATAAAATAAAGGTTTAACAGCACATTTCACTTACCTCCTCGCTGCACGGTGCTGAAGCCAGCGGTACAACAACACAGCTAAGGTTTGCCAGCCGTTTTCCCTCTAGCGCCTCCTACCGCCCGGAGGCCGTTTCCTTAAACTCGTCACGACTGTATGGAACTACAAACATGGCGTCCGAGACTACAAAAGCAATTGCTCAAGTCTTAATGGGCGGATCATATCTTATCATAAGAGGAGGGGTGTTAAGTGAAAGCGAAAGTGGTTGACAGCAGTTAAGCGGCGGCTGGACGTCGAGCAGTAACGATGGTCTGGACCGGCCCGGGTGTACATGGCGAACATGTTTTAAGAGCTTTCAATGGATCTGAGTTCTCTCTCCGTCTCTGTCAGCGTTATGATGGCTTGTCTGCTCGGAGCTGCGCAGCTCTCCAGCGGCGGTAAGAGCAAAACAAACGCGCTGATTTTGGACCCCTGATTATTGACTATAACCTAGAATAATAACATTTTGTAATCGGATAGGATTTGGTCATTTTTATAACATTTTATAGATATAGATATAGATATATAAACAACATTGTGGCATTGTAGTAACATTGTAATAACTATAATATATTAATAATTAGATCTGTATAAAATCATACGTTTGAAGGATAATAATTAGATTTCTGTGTAAATGACTGAGCTTTGAAAGGAGATGCCCTTTTTAGTCTACAGTTCTTTTATTTTGACAGGGTAGCAGAACTTAGTGTCAGATATGTACTATCTAAACTTTCCCTGAAACCTTACACGCCTGATATACATTGTGACTCTTTACGGGTGTATGTATGAAAAGCATTTCCAGTAATCAGTGCTCATGCGTTACTGATTAACCGAGGATGTGTCACTGAATAGTTTACAGGGGGCAAAATGTAAATCTACTGCTTTATTCACTCATATCACTTATATCACTTATCACTTATATCAATCATGTAAATGTTTATGCTGTCCGTGTGTGTATCTCTGCTTACATGTTGTCATTTTTTTGTCATATGATTTTTTTTTTTTATTTTCAGACAACAGCAACTGTCCGTGTCCACACATTCCTCATGTGAATCTGACGAAGCCTCCACCAGAGGGGTGCTTCCAAAAGGAAGACCGCTATCGCTACCAGTGTGTGGAAGGTTATGTGAGGAAAGTAGGAACCTCAGATCTCAGCAGATGCAGGCCAAATGAGGATGGTGTACTACGCTGGACCGAGATCTCCTTGAAGTGTATACGTAAGATTCATTTATTTATTCATGCGCTGCTTTTACATCTGAAGAGTGTGCTCATGATGCAGACACAGCTACCTGAGTGAAGCAACGTCTCTCCACCTACTCAGCATATGCATAGGAGCTTGCCCAATTGGCACCTCTCGTCCTCACAAATGGCATTTTAGGTTTACTTGTGTATCTGTGGTCATGAAAAATGCAGACTATGGGAAGCAATGATTTCACATCTCATTTGCGCGTCAGTGCTTGTTGTAACAAACAGGCTCCTTAAACACCAACAATTACAAAAGCAGTGTTCCTGTAGCATATCTTCCATGCATTCTTTAAATTATCACATGATAAAAAAAAAAAGGTTATGAAAATGTCAACATGTGAGAAAAAAAAGTTTTTGCACTCATGTGAGGTGTTTTTTTTAGCATACTGGGAGATTAGAACACATTTGAATAACTTCTGATGTGGTGAACATTTGACTTGTTTGATCTGCTGTTTCTGCTCCTTTTGCTGTCTTCACCTCCGAACACGACGGCATAAAACATGTCCAATCCTTTCTTTAAATTAGACAAGTAAACAAGCAATTGCAGCTCTGAGTTTGACCTCCTTGTACCTTGTAAACACGACTTTCCTGACTGATAGTAACATCTTAGATTTTCTCTCATAGATTGAGATTTTGTCTGTTTCCTCTTCTTGTCTGAGTTTTTTTTTTTTTAATCATTTGGCAGACGACTTGTTTTGTTTCCTGCTTCTTCTGCTCCGTTCATCACAGTCTAGTCACTCCAAAGCAGTTCATGAAAACAAGCCTGTTGCACTTTTTTTTTTTTGGTCTTTTTTAATATTTTGCGGCATTAGTTAGCGCAATTATAATTATTTACAACTTACCTTGGCATTGCTGCACCACTTCAGCAGCATGCAGAAGCCTCTGCATTATTTATAGTGTGCAGAATAGATGACGTGGCCATGTTCATTACAGCCATTGTAGTCATTTTTGCTTTCTTAAGTGCACAGAGATATTTAGTGGAATGATGGTCAAGCGGACAGATTGTTGACTGTTGTTTTTTTTTAATTATTATTTTTTGTTTTTTAAAAGTGAAGGGAAAATATAGCCATTGAGAAAAATATCCATATTTTTGTGGACGAGGCTCTTGTCCACATCCGCACACATAAAAACAATAAAAATGCATTTTATTTGTATAGCACAGTTTAAAATCAGGCGACATCTCAAGATGCTTACTATCACTACATTTGTTTCCTGATTCGTTGCACTCTGATCATAATACCTTTATCTAGAAGAAAAGCCATCACCCTTAACTACCTGTGGTTAATTCAGTTTAGATGTTTTTGACCTTGTTATTTTTGCCCGCAGCTGTGTCGTCATCCTGCAGTGTGAGTGAGAACATAGATTTTTGAATTCTTGGAAAACTAGTGAAACCGGTGTGTACTCCAAGTAAAATACAGAATGCATTCCAACAGGGCTGCAGCACACAGGAAGCAAACCAGAGCTGTGAATCACACTTTTACTGCAGTATGTGCTGCTGTCAAGCCAAGTTCCCACATGCTGCGGAGATATATTGACTCATTAGCCGAATGCAATGTCTGTCTGTATTGTTTAAATGTTGGCTGAAAAGAAATTGCTTTGTAGAAATGTCAGACTAAACATCAGATTATTGAGAAACAGTGATGCCACAGATGGACTGTTTAACTATAATAGTGCATATCAGAGGTCCTAAAAACCAAATCCAGAGAAACTGTATGCAGATCCGGGGATATCTGGCCTGAGTTTGTTGCATCTAATAATTACTGAATCCAGCATGAAATCCAAACAGCTGTTTTTATTCAACAGTTTATTTAGAACACCCACACTTTTGGCAGCAGCAGCAGGGAGGAAACTATCGCTGTCATGGGCTTGACTATAATACAGACAGCCAGTTCTAAATAAATAAGTAGGAAACCAATGATTGAACTGACAAAAAGTTCAGCCCACACGTGTCAGTCCTTGAGTAAAGAAAACATTCAGTGCAAACTGGTACATTCACAGCAGCCTGCATGTACCTTCTTGTGGGTTTCTGATGTGTCAGTGATGATTCATTACACCTGACAGTAAGGCTTCAGTCCAGAACGACAGTGAGGAAGCACAGACTGTACATGAAACCAAGTGAGTCACTCTTCTGTTTGATCAGGGGAGACATATTTAGAACTAAATGAAGAGTTCATTTGCAAAAACAGATAACTCCATTATTGTAGATTTTCAGAAAACTTTTTGTTGTTGTTGTTTGCTTGAGATAATATCAATCGAACTGAAGTTGAGCAGATTTGACTCAGGAGAAATGACAAAATAGAGATAACTTAAGTTTGATTGATATTGTCTCAGGTAGACGATGGAGAAGAGGGTTTTCTGAAGGTTTGTGAAGGTGGAGTTATCTGTTTTTGCGAATGAACTCGTCAAATACACTTTCTTGTAAGATAACATTTCCTTATTGTTCAACTGTATTGAGAACATGACAGAAGTGACAGCCTACATAGGCTAAATTCTTTCTGAAAAAATGAGGTATGAAGCTTCACATTAGTGGGGTTTTTCCACCCAAAATCAACTGATGAAATAAAATTACAGACAAGCTCTGTGTGGCAAGAAAAAGTATCATCAATAAAATTGCCCTGAGCTAGTGATGCATTCAGCATATCTTTAAACAAACACAACTGGACCAAAAGGAATGCTATTAACTGCTACAAAAAAAGGAAAGATTTCTTGTTTCTGTGCTGAAGTCTGCTCTACATTGATGTCTCTCACCATCGTGTAAGTGATTTAAGAGGGGGAAAAACTCAACTGACATTCAAACACAGTCAATCTGATTGAAAAAGGCACATTCTGAGCATAGAGCTGTATATCATCAGCATATGGTGGCATGTAGTGTCTGGTGTTATGTAGTAGAACAGCCTCGGCCACAGCTATGGAGAGATATGTAGAGAAAGCTAATGAGTTGCATCTCAGGAATTGGATCTGTGGTTGACTTAAATCAGGTTCTCTAACTTTATTTATTTTTGCTTTGAGAATATTTTTATTGCTGATTTACGCGGTCAAACCAATGAAGAAACTGTCCAACATGTAATTTATTGTGTTTCAGCTGACCCCAACAGACCCACACCACCACCAACAACACCACCACCAACAACACCACCAACCACCACAGCAATACGTAAGTTTCTGTTTATGTGAATCAGAATGAAAACAGTGTAAGCTATGATAATGATTTGGCATGTTAAACTATAACACTCATCATAAAGGGGCCGGACAAAGGCTTACAACCAAAGGCTGGGCCGTAGCTAGGTTTTGGAAAACAGCAAAGACTGGACATAAAAGATGAACCAACTGGTTTGTGGACCACCATTTTGAAGCCTCAAGATTGAAATTTGGTCGTCACCACCCTGGTGTTTTGAAACTAGATCAGGGTTGGATCTGACTGAGGGTTTGACACTATGCACACCCATATGGTAGCCAACTGTCAATCACAAGGCCCTAAAACATACCTTGCTTTATCATCTATTTTACCCTAAACAGGGCCATAAATGACTAAATGAGCATCATGTTGTATTGAAGGAGACTTGAAACTAACAATTGAGACCATAAAGTCATTCGGACAATGTTTACTGAAGTAACAGATGAAGGGAGAAGTAGGGTCATTTTGTCATAGACTTCTATACATTTAGACTACTTTTTGCAAACAGAGGAGTCGCCCCCTGCTGACGAATAGAGAGAATGCAAGGTGAAGCAACATCTTGGTTGGCTTCCCTTTTCAAACCTGAATGCGATGTATACTTTTATATACAGTTTTTGGTATCACCCCGTAGAAAAATATGCAAAATCTTTAACAAAACATCCCTAGTATCTATAAGTAGCAGCAAAATGCATTAGCTAGTACTACTTTATTTCAAATCAACAAAAAATGATGACCATGCGTAGTCTGCAAATTACCTTTTATTTAAAATCAGAAATTAGAATATGTGTAACATCAGACACAACTACTTACAGGAATGCAAATGTTCTACCTTTGGAGGATATTTTAATCATAATCTAATTTAACATTATGAAGACTGACCAGAATTAAATTTCAAAGCCATTCATCAAACTTTCATCAATATTTACAGGATCTGTTCAAACTCAAAACACATAAATAATGAATAAAACACTGTTCAGCGCTCCAGACTGACTGTTTCACTGGTAGCACCAGTACGACCCTGTTTCTCATTTTGTTGCACCTCCCACCTGGTCAAAGGCAAAACAAATGACTTGTTGAACATTTTCTTATCAATAGACGCTACAATTTACTGATGCTCCCTAAACGCC